CCTAGGCAAAACAAGGGCATCCCGGCGAACCAAAAAGGTTCGGGCAAAAATTAGGGATAAAATAAAAAATATGTACACCCGGCAAGTTGAAAACCCGAAAGGGAGACTTGGGCAAAAAAGGGTTTCCCGGTGGACTGAAAACCCGAAAGGGCGGTCCAGGCAAAAGTTAGGGAATTAAAGCGTATGACTATGTCTCGTCGGATCACTTTAAGGATAATCTCTTCACTGCCAAACTTTGAGCCTCTGATCAATTCAATCATCTTCGGACGAAGCAACGGACAGACAAGATATTCAGAGATACGAAGGCTATAGCATAATGGGAACCCCATGGGATTATTACACACATATCTATCTTTCTTTGTATAAACTTTTCTTACTTTTATGACACCATCCTCTTACTAGGATGTTTGTCTCCTTTGTACAAAATACTTATTCAAAGTAAATAAAAGGATATCTCTTTCAAAGTACAAAAAACTACTTGCCTTTTCCTTTACACACGTGTTTTTATTTGCAAAAACGTCCAATGATTCATTGATGAGCATATGCATTTGAACATAATTATTGTTTACAAATAAACAAGATGGAAAAGAACAATTACTGACAGACTGAAAGGATAGGAAAACGTCTTTAGGCTATTCCATGAGCAATCCCTACAGTACATCATCTAGATCCCCAACGGAGCTAAAATTCCAAACCCTTAATCCCCATTAGAGCCAAAACTTCTAACTATCAATCCCTAGCGGAGACCATCTAGTTTCTCTAAATTCCCCAGTAAGTTATCTTGAAGCCTAAAAACCAGACAAAAACTTCTGATAACTCCCCTGTAGAGTGGCAGACAACCCAAACTCCTGAACCTACTCCTCAGCAATAAGCCTTCTTCCCCATAGAGTTTTTATTTCTCCCCAACAGATTGAAGATTCTCTATGATAATTCCCTGCAGAATTCATCAAATTTTTCTCTATTCTCCAGTAGAACAGGGTTTCCTGTTGTGTAATCCCCAGTAGAAGTCAGCAAAATTCTCTGGACTCCCCAAGCGGATTACTCAAGCAGTATGGCATTGCTCACAACAGAATTTTTGCCAATACTCCAAGGATCCCTATATCCCTAGAGAAGTCATCAAGGATTTTTAAATCCCCAACGATCACCAAGGATTTCTTATCCTCAGCAGTCAGGGATTTATTTTTCCCGACAGCAGTCAAGGATTTATTTTCCTCAGCAAAACAACAAATTAGCTTACATGCGCATACATTACATCCATATGTCATAAACATTGATAAAGCACATTTATTGCATCATACATTTCATGCAACATAACTTTGTGTTTCAGCTAACATTTTACCCTTTTCAGGATAAGATTAACAGCTATCATTAGCAATGTTCAAAGATCTCAGATACAGTACAGATACGCTCCAGACAAGGATGCCATTCTGATACTCATTCTGATTTCAACTTCAGATACAGTACAGATACACTCCAGACACGGAAGTCATTCTGTCACTCATTCGGATTTTCGAATCCAGATATGCTCCAGACACGATCTCCATTCTAATACTCATTTAGATCTCTTATTCAGATACAGTACATATACACTCCAGACACGGTTGCCATTCTGTCACTTATTCTGATTTTCCCCATCTCAGATACGCTCCAGACACGGAATCCATTATGTTACTCATTCAGATCCCGGTCCAGATACACTCCAAACATGGTTGCCATTCTGTCACTTATTCAGATTCAAGTTCAGATACAGCTCAGATACGTTCCAGATACGGACACCATTCTGATGCTTTTTCTTTTGACTTACAACAAAAATTCTTGGATGGCATCTACAAGCCCATCTCCAACAAGATTCTATCACCTCTCCAAATGGCATCTTTTAGCCCATTCCCTCAACTATACTTTGACGAGTGCAAATTTACACGCACTCTAGTGTCCAATCATCTTTTACCTTCGAGTCACGAACGACAAAACTCGCCAATCTAACTCTTCAGGTTCAAGAAGATTGAACAGGGGAAGCTGTTGTACCCCAAATTTTCCATCTCATTTATCAAGATATTCCTCACAATACTTTTTGGACTCAAGACAAGATTAGGGTTTGGTCAGCTCCAGACATCACCTTGCATTGATAACCTGAAATTAGGGTTTGAGTTTGCACTAAGATTTTTGGACCAACAATTCTTCATGTGACTTTCATACATCATGTTGGACCCCTACGATTGCTCATGTTAAGTTTCAAGCCTTGAACCACATTTTTGATCAGTCAATTGGACAGTTGACCTAAAAATCAGTTGTATTGGGGAAAAAAAATCAACCATGGCCAATTTACAGTCAAACTTCATAATTTTTTATCCACATCAACATTTTAGGCTCCTATGTACCATTTGATCAAGTTTGGATCACAACTCCTCAAGAAATTTGATCAAATCATCAAAAGGGCAAAATGGTCAAAATTAGGGTTTTAACTGAGAAAGGGCAATTTCTGATTTTTAACCTAGCCAATGACCAATTGAGTTCAAACATGATTTCCAGGATCTAATGGCATCATCTTGACCTAATTACATAGTTTAAAAGATCTCAAGTTCATTGGATTGACAGATGAATTTTCCAGTCAACTGATCAAAAGTCAACTGTACACTGAAAAGTCAAACTTTGACTTTTTGGTCAAAATCAAATGCCAAGGGTCATAATTCATCAAGATATGTCAAAATGTGAAACTTGTTGATCAAGAAACTCAAAATTGCAAATTAGGGTTTTTGAATTTGAAAATTTTCATAACTTAGAATTTTTCTAAGTATGGAAATTTTCTTATTTTTTCCCAACTTTCAACCACTTTATCACCATGATGCAATTTGATTCAAGAGAAACTTCCAACATGAAAGTTGTATTCCTCCATTAAATTTACAACTTTTATTCACAAATTTTTCCCAAATGATTCTTGTATCTCAAGTTATGAATTTGTGAATAGAGGTCCATGAACTAAATGACATAGTGAAATTTTGCCCTAATTTAGGCAGGTTTTTGACCCAACTTCATGGACATTTTTCACCTAGTTCCAGGAGGTATCTCAAAATGCATTTAAAAGATGGATTATAGAGAACATTTCAAGATTTAAAAAATGTCCAAGAACTCTCCAAGATCATTTGTGGTTAGGGAGAATCGAAGAAGAGAAATTGGCATTTTATCACTTTTGTTCATGCCATTTTTACAATGCATCAAGTTGCAAATCAGATCTTTGATGCTTGTACATTGCTTTACAGGTCCTAAACTCATTCTACACTCCATAATTAAATGCTAACTCAGAAGATAAAGGCTTTATTTTGGCTTTTGGAACATTGTACATTAGATAATTCCATTAATGGCCTAAAGGGCACATTGTCATTTTCATAAAGTGCAACTTTTGCAAATTTGTCCATCTTGAACCTTGGACCTGTTTCTTTGAGGAAAGAAATCTCCACAGATCTTAAGCAATGTGTACCAACTCCTATAAGCTCACAAGCAAGCAGTACAAGCATGTTTGCACAAGTCATTTCACTTTTCTTAAAATGCAAGAAAGTTGGCCAAAAGTGCTAGAACTTGTACAACTAGTAAGAGTGGACTTTGTGTCCATTCTATACATACTCATAAACTTATCACAAGCCAGGACACGAAGGAATTGCATCTAAAACTCTCCCAAACACAAAAACATCATTTTTCTGCCCAAACATTGCAGTTCTGCAAAATCATTGCCAACTTCATTTTGGCTCGTGTGTTTTCCCTTTTAACACTTGAAACATCTTATCCACGTAATATCAAAGCTATCCAAGCCATTGTCCTGGCACTGTAAGCTCTGTTTCAGCCATTTCCATTTTCAAATTTGGAGGTTGCAGCTTGACTTCTACAGAGACTTCTGGCCATCCACAAAGCAAGCTAGGCATTGGAATAGCTTGAAGGAACCTTAAGGAAGCTCACACGATCCTCAGTCCTCACTCAAAGTCCCCACATTGTCATATCCAAATCCAGCTGAAGGCGGTATTTTTCAAAAGTCTATCTCTCTATTTAGGCATCCTCAAGCCACGATTTGTGAAGGGAAAATGTAGCCCTTATCTTGGTGAAGTTGTACATATGCATACTTGTCATTTATATTAACTATGCCAAGAGAATTCGAAGCTGGAAGTTCATGAAATAATTAGGTCACGAATTAGGGCTGACAAAATTCTCCCTGATCTTTGACAGTTAGATTACAAATTTTATATCATTGGAATCGTGAGATAAAATGCTACATGTTTTGTGTTATAAGTTTTTGTTTTTATGCAAGCAATAGCAAGTTACAGATTTGAAGAAGCACTACAAGAAAATTAGTGTTTAACGACACAAAAATTGCGACAGTTATGTGATAACTGTCGTAATTGACATATAGAGACAGTGTTTACGACAGTTGACACCAACCGTCCCTAATATTTATTTTGCGACGGTATATTTAACCATCATAATATTATTATTACGACGGTAAAACAACCGTCGGCCCCCATTTAACACTTTTAACATTGATTTTTCACCAACAACTAGTCACGACGGTAAAATTAACCGTCCTAAAAGGCATATCACGACGGTAAAGCACCCGTCGCACCCTTAAACCTTTCACGACGGTAAAATTATCCGTCCTAAAATTCATTTCACGACGGTAAAACAACCGTCGCATCCAAAACCTTTAAAAATTTTCATGGGCACGACGGTAAAACACCCGTCGCCGTAAAAAAGTTAAAAATCGCATAAAACATCCATTCACTTTCTACTCCTGCGTTCAGAGAATCCGGAAGCACCGTGACGGCAGCGACTGGCGGCGATTCGTTGTTTGAAAAGATGGCTAGATGATCAAGAGCCAGTGATGATACTAGTTCAGTTGCACCAAAAACACACAGACTCACTCGCACAAGTCGTTTCTTCGCGTATCTCGATCTCATTTCTCAAATCCCTAACCTATCGTAAATGCGATTTGCATTCATAGATTCATAGCTGCAGAAATGGCCATAAACCTAGCCAAATTTCTCATACTGTTTTTCACTATTTCGATCTGCAACGCCGTCACGAATCCAAGTCCGATTTCCGATTCTCACCGTTCCGCTGCTTTACAACTCTTCGATGGTTCCTCTTCAAGGTCGATGGTTCCTCTTCCAGGAAGTGCCAAGGACTTCTTCAATCAAATTGAATCATTAGCTCTTCTGGAGAGCAAAAGGCAAGTGCTTTTCAGGAAAAGAATTTATAATTTTAGTACAGCTTTATAGTGGTGTCCTTTTTTCCCTCTTGTTTCTTCTTTGCACATATCTTGATATCTTAATAATATTCAGTAACAAAAATGCCTCGGATTTCTTGTTCTGGTGTAGGGTTCCCGTCCCATTAGTGCTGTCACTTCCTGCAACAGTTTATTCATTGTCCAAAAAAGATCAGCTCAAGGTAAGTAATGAAGTTAAAGTTTCTAAAGTCTTTATTTTGGGAGTGAAACGATTAGTTGATGGTTCACACTGGTTTTCTGTTTTGGCTCCTCAACCACCTCATAAGATTATGTTTTTATCACTTTTTCTGTCAAAAATATGTTGGTTGACTCAAATATATTAAAGATTACTGATACAGTTCTGAGTTCCAGTTAGGCTTTCTTTCACATGATGCTACCAGTTATTTTTGGTTCTGTCATTTTCAGTCTCCTTTTAAATTCTTCATCTCACACTCTCCTATGCGCCATTGTTTTTTATTCAGTTGTGGAGCTTAATAAACTCTTCCCCCATTTCTCACTTGTTGATTCTTATACATGCAATACTATATTAGCATCACATGAATCAGTTGGCTGCATTAATAAATCTTAAGTTTTTTTTAATGAATGTACAGCTTTTCACTTCGGAAAATGACAGATTTCTATTTCAAAATTAAACAGGTTACAGTGAATACAGTACTTGGTTCAGCCGCACCACCTCTTACAGTTAAGCTTGTCAGAGCTTTCCACGCTGATGCTAAACATTCTGCTGTTATCGAGGGCAAGGTGAGTGATGAGTCAATGATTATTTTTAGAAGTGGATGTCGTAGAGTAATTTAGTTTATGGGATTCTTTATTATCTCTGGTCTGTTCTACTTTCAATTGTTTGAATATACCTCCCTTATTGTGTTCTACAGGAACTCCAGTACGATCAAAGTAGTGGACTTCATGTCATGGGCTTCCCAGATAATGTGGATGTGGGAACATATGTGTTTGTTTTTGAGGTATTATGTTTATTTAGTGATTATTTTTCCTTTCATTACACCAAGGTGTATTTATTTGTATCTGCTTGTTAGTTATAACGTTTTAAGCCTATTTTGTAGACAGCGCTTCATGATTCAGGTAGTGAAAATGATTATGCTATTGGAGGCCAAATTCACGTGCCGATATATGTCACTGGCATTGTTAAAGTTAGCAACGCAGAAATTGCAGTTCTTGGCAGTGATCTTGGAAGTGATGAAACCCAGAAAACGTAAGGTTTCAATTACTGGTTTGAAAACATCTCTGCAATTATATTCAGGATCAGTGTACTTAATCATCAATTAGTATGTCTCATTGTCATATGTTTGTCATTTTTATGCAGTGTTTGAAGTTCGAGCTGAACACATATATACATTTAAATCTTGGTTTTGCGTTTTTGTTAGCAATTCTATTAATTATGTTTATTTCTTCACTTCAATTTAAATCTTTATTTTGTGTTTCTGTGTAGGCTAGATTTGGCTGGAACTGATGTTGTTTCACTCTCAGCTAACCATCTTCAAAAGTTGCGTTTTTCTTTTCAGTTGATAACGCCTCATGGCCATACCTTTAAGCCTCGCCAGGTTTGTAGTAGTTGCATTAGACCTTTTAAATGAATGTCATTTCATTGGTCTCTTCTTTATTAAACATTTATTCTTCTTCAGGCATTGCTTAAGTTGAAGCATGAGACAAAGTATGAACACATCTTTGTGGTCAGAAATACCGGCAAGAAGTTCGAGATTATTCTCGTTAAGTATCTCCTATTTTATATTTCATTGTCTAGATTAACATGTCTATTCTCGAGTACTTATTGAGTTTGTTACAATTCATAATAAATAGCTATTACACGATGCTGAAGTCAGGATAATCTGTTTTAGTTCATAACTGCTACATTCTGAATATTAGAAATCAAGTGAACTTAAAGTGGAAAAGGCATGTATGTTCTGGTTTTATTCAGGTCTCTTATACACAATTTAGTATTTATCACCTATACCTTTTGTATAATTTGCGAACCTAAATCATAATAATACTTATATTATGGTTGATGCAGAAGAAAACACTAACACCAAGGCTCTGATTCTAAGTTCTCAGGTATGATTAAACATAGGGAACTGTAACTAAAGAAATATTTAGTTCTTGCTTTAACTTGTGTTGCCATGCAGGAAGCAAGCAACAAAGTCGATGAAGTTGAAGAACAATTGAGAAACCTAAAACAAGAATTAGAAATGATCAGGTATACAGTTATAATTGATTACATTGAATAGGCTCGTGGAGTTGTTGATATTTGTAACGAGTAACAATGTAAAAATGTTTGATGGTTTTTTCAGAAGTGAAAATATATCACTGCAATCAAAGAATAACTATTGGGAAGTTAGAGCAAAATATTCTGCTGATAGACTTTACAGATTCAAGAAAGAAAATGAACATCAGGTAATTATTAGTTGCAAGAGATTTCAAAATTTAAAGGAGATTATGGACTATTCTAATTTTTCTTTGTTGTGCTTTTTCAGTTGTTTATTTTGAAGCATGAAAATGAATTGATATCAAATGCTGAGAAACAAGCTCGTCAATTGGTTACTAATTTATTTCAAAGGATACATTGTTTACAGGTTGAGGCTACTTTCATTGCATCTCATTTCAAATGAGTGCCTTAATTTAATACTAATCATGTAGGGTGGTAAACCATGCAGATCTCAGTTGAAACACAAGTGGCAGAAAGGAAAAAACAAGAAGAAATTATACATATGCTACAGGTATATAATTTACATGATTGCAACCTTGTCAATTTGAAGTATATAGTTTTTGAACACCTTTGATTGAAGGTGTGACCTTGCAAGTGTCCGATGCCACATACATGACTCTGAAATATGCGGTTACTTGTTATGGGTGGCTATGTGTTAGTGTCATGTTTTGTGTCTGAATCGGTGTTTCATAGGTTTGAAGGCAAACTAGAGTCGAATTCTAAATTTCTTTGCCTTGAGTTACCACTCATTGATATTTGTTAATTTACAGAATGAATGTAATAAGGCTAAAAGAGAGTTTCAAGAGCAAAATAATTATGTTGAAAGGCTTAGACAGAAGCTTGATAATGTCAGTAAATTTCCTATGAAAATAGCTCAAGAGTCAGGGGAAAAAATAGCCATTACTTCCAGTGTAATGTCAGCTGGTGAATCCAAAGTTCCTGCTGTGGAGGTATTTGTTTGTGTTTGTCAATTTCTTTACACCCCGTTCTAGATATGCACAATTAAATATGAATCAGCATTCCCTAATTGCATTTAAGCTGGACTGGGTTTGGGGGCTTATAATTTTGTCACCTGTATGTTTTGGCGAAGACTGTATGATCATTTCATTCTCATCTACTATTAATATATAGTTATTGTTCTGTTAAAATTCATAATTTTGTCTTTTAGGATTTTCTTGGCTTGGTGGACAAATTTTATTATCTCTCGGGCAGATATGATTTTGAGTTGACTGTTGGTGATGCTGTCATGGTATCTTGCACTACTTAATTTGGTTAGTTTCCCCTCTCCCCGTAATAGGAAAAGCAATCTGAACAATTACTATTTATGATTTCAGGAGAACTCTTTCTTGCGGCCACTTGGTCATTTGGAATTAGATCTTCCAGAAGCACCTGAGAAAGCAGCGCATCTTCCCCCACTACCTTCCAGAAGCTCTTTTGAGAATTGCTGTGAAGAACGGTCTGCCTCTTTTTACATTTGCTGTTAACCAAATTGACGGTAACATTCTTGCAGCCAAAGTGAAGAACTTAGGCGACTCTGGAAAAGACGAATGCAACCGCATCTATACCTTTTTAACCTTTAGCGAGGTTAAGAAGAAGAATGGAAGTTGGATGAGTAAAGCAGGCAGAAGCAAAGAACCTGATTACGTTCCCCATGTTGTGGCTCAAATGAAGGCTTCTTATTTGCATTATTATGATTTAACCGGCCAGAATTGTATGGACTCCTCTACCGTGAAAGAGTTTGTTTTATTTTCTGTAAAGCTCGGGCAAAGTGATGCTCAGGACTCCGACTATCAGCCAAAAGACGAGCTTGCTGCAATTGCCGTCAAAATACCTAAAGCTATCAGTTTCATTAACAATCAACATCATAGCAGTTGCCACAGTGATAGTCATGACATTGTCCATGCAACGGTTGTGCTCCCAGGCGGGGTTCATAGTTTTCCAAGTAAAGGCGGACCTTCATCACTACTTGAGCGGTGGAAATCCGGTGGATCATGTGACTGCGGCGGTTGGGATTTGGCTTGCAAACTTAAAATTATTGCTACTGACAATCAAGCCAGTAGAAAACCACTGTCATCCAAACCTTATTTTGCAGATTATCAATTCGATCTTTTTGTTCAGGTACATTTTGTTCATGAAACATATTTTGCATACGCTATTACATATTACTAAGATTAGTAATTTTGGTGCATCTCTTTTCTTGCTAACCACAGGGGAACAAACACGATCCGTGCCCAGCATTCAGCTTAACCCCTTAGAAAATGGTATGAGTTCTGTAGCCTTTGACTCGTCGCTCTCACTTTTGCAAGCATTCGCCATTTGCATTGCATTAGTTGATAGCAAGATGCCATGTGAGCTTTCTGGAACAAGAAAGTCGCAAACCGAGGAACTAAAGGCTTTTGGTAAATTAGAAGATATTCCTACAAGTTATGTTTCTAATCCACCAGTTTCTCCTGTTGGTAGGGTCTAAAATTAACATGTGGTAGAGAAATGTTTACACAAGCTAGAGCATATGAAAAACATTGACAGTTTATAAATAATACAAAACAGATCTAGTAATCTGGAATTCTGTTAAATTATATCATAGATGCTATTGAGGGTCTGGAGCACAGTACCGGCCGTTGTTTATACACTGAGACTTGCATTGATTGCTTAAGAGAAAATCATTAGGGCAGTACCAAGTTATAAAGTGAGGAGTAAATTGAGTGAACCCCTTCTTCTCAAGAAACTGAGCTGCACCCCTTCATGCATCTGAAACATGAAGTGTCTTTTGCACTAGAATGAAAATAATAATGTTTTTGTTGGATTTAAAGGGATATGAGCTGTTGAAAAATATAAGATTTCTATTTGATAAATCTATGATTTCTACCAACTATTGATATGCTACTTTGGTTTTTGTTGCAGGTAACTTTTCTCTTCCACTTGCTTCGCTGCTCTTCAAACCCTCGTGCGTCTTTGAGGTATGATTTCATTCTTAAATTTGAGTGTGCCTTTACTATATCACTGTTTAATAGTGTTAGACTAAAGAATTTTATCTTATAAGAATTTTATCTTAAATTTGAGTGTGCCTTTACAAATACATTATTCTTATAAGCAATTGTAATAACCAAAATTGCAATGTTTGCAATCGCATTCATACGGGACCGCAAAAGCACTTTAAAATCCTAACACAGGCAATCATATTCTTAACGCAAAGGGACAAGGCGAGGACAAAGGAAATTGAACTCTTAATGCAAATGCAGAATTTTAGTGGAAGACAGGTACTTTATTTTGACGCATTTAAAGTTAAATTTTATGAGTATTATTTTAAAGATTATTATTTTAATACCTTTTTTTAGGGATTGGAATCACCCGCTGATGGTAGACGTTCATCTGAGTCTAGCTACCGTATTGGAGATAATGGAACTTTAGGGGGGACAAATTAGACTTTGCTATGATCGAGATAATTAGATTGTGAACTTTCTCATGTATTTTTGGCATAATGATACTTATTATTATAAGATTAGGAATTGATATATTTTGGGTTTTTTGTACTACTTGACATGATTATGGAACTCGCATTTTACATGATTATGGAACACACATTTTTTTGGATATTATAATGCTTATTTGATGTTAAATATTTTTTACTGAAATTATTTTTACTATATTACAAAGTGATAGAAAATAAAACAAAAAATAATACTATAAATAAATATATTAAAGAAATAATTTAAAGAAAAAAATAACACAAAAAAAAAACTATATTTAAAATTTTTTACATAGATAATAATTTAAATAAAAAATATATATAATAGAAAAATAAAAAAAAAATCAAGACATAAACAAAAGTCATGGCGACAGTACCGAACCGTCGTAATCAACAATTAAAAATAATCAACAAAAGTCATGACGGTATCGAACCGTCGCCATAAACAATTTAATCAATTTCACAAGATATTCACGACAGTATCGAACCGTCGCCATCAATAATTAAAAGAAACTCAAAAGATAGTCACGACGGTATCAACCCGTCGTAAACTAGAACGACAGTTTTTGTAACCGTCGCGAAATAGGTTGGGGACACACACTTCTGCGACGGTAAAGCAACCGTCGTGGAAAGCAAATTGCGACGGTTTTAACCGTCGTAATCTACAAAAATACCTGTCGCAATCTGCCAATTTTCTTGTAGTGAAGGATACGCGCGTAGAAGGAATGGCTGGAGGACAGGGATGACTGGCCTGGGCCTTGGGCGCCTTGGGCCTTCTCTTTTTGTTTTTCACACCCCCTGACCACTATTTCCACCCCCTGGCATATTTGTTTTATTTTTCATATTTATTTTTTATATTTTTACATTTATTACTTTTATTTATTTTTTCTGAATCATAAAAATCATGAAAATTAATTTCTTTATTTTTTTGCATTTTTATTTTATTTTTCTATTATTTTTTGCAAAAAAAATAGTTTATTAGGATAACATACTTTATTTTCTTAAATAAAATTTGTAAATATATTTAAAAATACCATACATTTTTATTATATTATTTATACACATAAAATATTTATTTTCATACATATTTTAATTTTTAATATTTGTACATAATATTACTTATTATTTTCTTGCACAAAAATGGATAAAATAATAATATAGAACATATATTTTATTTTAATTGAAAATTAGGGTTTCACCCCTTTCAAAAATAATAATATTTCTTATCTTATTTTTAGGGTTTAAATAATTCATTTTTCTCATACAAAAAATCAAATATAAAACATTTTTGCATAAATACATTGCATTACATATTTAAATATTTGTATATTTATTTATTTTGCACAATATTCAATTGGGTTGTAATAGTATTTTTAGGGTTTATTTTGTGCAATATCCCCATTCAAAAACTTGTATCCCCCCTCCCATAATAATTGTTGTAATAGCTTAGTTTACATTTACGCAATTTATCGCTTTTATACCATGTTAGTAAAACTAGGGTTTGCATGACAAGTCCAAAAACAAACAAATAGACAAGACCTAATGCAAGACAAAAGCATGTAAAATGACACACATTGCACACAAGCACCCTTAGGGTTTCACCCACTTGGTTGCCTAAAACAAAATGGCCATGTTACGCATGAGAAGTATCTTGGCAAAACAAAAATAAGATCATAGTCCCTCGATGACGTTATCAAAAGGTTGCCTAAACAAAGATGATCTTAGTCCCTCAAAACTTGCTAAGATACTTGGCAATATTGCTATCATGGTCATACAATGACCCACGCCCGTCCCGTTTACATCCAAAGATAGGGTTGTTTACCAAATCAGTGGTAAATTAACAATGTCAAAGGAATAAAAATGCACAAGAAAGACATTTGAATAGGTAGATAGCTTCTAGTTACTTGATAATTTTCAAAACAATCCTTGCTATTTTCAAAAACAAACATACACATTTCAAAACATTTCCAAACAACTTTCAAAACATTGATACATTTTTCAAAAGACAAACATCTTTGTATACATTCTTACGAACGAGAATCATTACAAAGATTGCCTAAACGAGTTGCCTCTTTTCAAAATACTTTCAAAAACACACAAAGCACCATTTCAAACAATTTCAAAGCAAAGCAAGTGATCTAAACAAGTAACTAAGAGCCCATGGAAAACCATGGATGAAAAGGGTGCTAGCACCTTCCCTTTTCATAATCTACCCCCCGAACTCAAGAAAACATCTCAAAGGTCTTTCGTGTGCTTTTTTTACCTTTCCTTTTTAGATAAAAGAAAATTCGGTGGCGACTCTTGCTAACCGCAACATTTGCGAACACAAACGCAAAACCTCAAGTCATTTCTCCTACCGCATCACACGTATCCTTCCTGAAAGGTAAAGGTTAGTTGTATGTAATGCATGATATGTATCAAGCAATGATGTTCTCAAAATAAATGAGATTGTGTTTGTATGATGCGTATATGCATGTCAGGATGTATGGAAACGTGATGTTTTTGGCTGTGGAAAAATAAATCATAGATTGCTGCTGGAGAAAAGAATTGGATGCTTCGTTTCTGCTGGGGATAGTGAATGAAGATATTTGTAAGAATAAACCTGTAGGAGAGGATAAATCCGCTGGGGAATAAACTGATGAGAGACTGACTCTGTGGGGAAGAGATGCTCTGCTGAGGATTTCGCTGATAAATTCAGCTGGGGATGAATTACCGTTGCTAGTGATGATGAACCCTGTTGGGGATTTGAATTCCTATTTTGAAAGGAAAGAACTGTATGGCGTAGACCAATATGGTTGAAGTAGTAGCTACGTTGGTGTAACACATTAGTTGATACCGATATCCCTTGTGGAGGAACAAGGAGAGTATGGGGCTGCTAATGGATCATTAAGCATCAATTGACCTTAGAACCTATAATTGACCAACTTGGCAATAGAAAAGTAGCAGTATGCTACACTCATTGAGACCATACTCTCGCGATGATTCCGGCCGCAAGAAAAGGTTGCTAAACTAGAATTATGACCGATCGAGGATGGTCAGTGATATTAAGAACCTCTAGAACCCGGTTACTATTACTAGGACAGGTTGAACCAACTAAACTGAAAGAGGGTAATACCTAAACTCCATGCCAGCCTGAAATTTAAAGGCTATTGTGTGACTTGTGTGCTTTCAACTTGAACTACTTGCACATGTTTGTTACCTAACAACTAGAGTTCCTTGCAGGTTTTGTTTACAGTCCTTACCTTGGATTTCTTGCCGGATTTACTTGTTTACATTACCTTGTACTTTTTCTTAAACGCATAACATACACATCATAACATCATTCCTTAACATTTCCTTAACCATTTTAAGGATCTCAAAGGTTTGTGATGCAGGTTATGGTAAATCCAACGTCTAGCAAGGGGCAAAGGGGATTTATTTTCCTCTAGCCAATGTCATCTAGAGATCAAAACAAGATAACTTGAGTCAGGGGCTATAACCCACTCGATATGGTGAGCTTGACTCTTGAAGAAGGACTCTTGATGACACGAAGTTTCTTCAATCAAAGCAGCAAAATTCAAATTCTAAAAGTTTCTTGTTTACCTCGCGAGATCCTTGAAAACATTGCATACATATCATTGCATAACAGGTCTTCCAGTACAGGTCTCTTATGTCCTCGCTGTTTATTTTAGCAATGGCTCTCAAACAAGACAATAGAGATCTTCATACTCAAGAAGCACAGTTCAGGGAAATATTCCTAAAGCTATCCAAGGGACAGGAAGAACTGAAAACACTCCACGTTGGGAACTTGGTCAAGAAAAGTCCTGAACACAATAAGGACGAACGGCTGGAGCAACTGCAAGCTGAGGTAGATGAAATAAGAACCCAGATGCTGGGGCAGATGGCCCTTATCCAAGGCTTAGCCCGGGAACAAGAAGATTTGAGAACCATTATCAACCAGCTTCATCAAGACGGATACAAAAGTATGAAGAAAATAGTCAAGGTCGGGGACCAAGTCATTA